TCTTTACTACAGATCTAGTTTCTTTCACCATGAAAACCTTTAAGTCTTATAAAGCACCCTTATTGGACGAACAAAGCGCTTGTCACATATGGAAGTAAACAATGCTGACCACACATAACATTTGAATGACAAAAGACCAATCCAACTGTTGGATGTTACCTATGCAGTTGTCATTGTTTATCCAAGTAACTGTAGTTGTGTGGGGATCCAATCATGTAGCTTCCTTTTGTTTACGTAGGCATAGTTCGAGAAGGAAACACACCTTCCCAATGTACATGCAAATGTAACAGAGGAGATTCGTTTATCTTCTTTTGAGGCCTGGAACAAGCTAAAGGTCGCCCAGCCAATGATGTTATCACTATAAATACATGTAGGTTCTTAAGGGAAAAAGCCCTTTCCAACAGTACCAAACTTCAAGCAAGGGCTACAGTCAAACTGCCTGAAAAAGCATTCGAAATATGGAAAAAATGTTGTCATGTAAAACGTAATGTAAAACACTATAATTTTTAGAAAAGATTGAGACAAACTCACTTCAGAAGTCCTCCTTTTTATTGCTTTTGTTTGATTTTCTTGCATAAATGGCATACATGTACAGTGGCTAGAGGATATATTTGACACTTAATCTACATGTACCTACAAATCTAAAAAACAGAAAAGCGATTTTGACACAATATTTTACGTACATGTAGGCCTATACATCCAAGTTCAGTCACTGATTACTCAAAACAAGATTTTGGGGATCATTTCTATTTTAGCCTCAGTAGGTCACAAAATCAAATAGAGTTTGGTATAACATATTAAAAACAAATACACAAAATGAAGCAATGAGGTGGACATTTATCAATACAACCTGCACCAAATACATGTAAAAGGGTGATTTCAATTTGTCCCAAGCAAAATTTGAAAATTTCTGCATTACACATAAACTTAAATAAGATTCAAATCTTTTAATTCCATTCCCTTTTTTTCAAGGCCGAGGTCCAACCCAAGTTTGCAAGCACTCACCAATTTTTCATAATCTTGAAGTTTCTGAGACAAGGCCTGGATAGCAATGGACAACTCATTCTGGCAAACAAAAATAATAAGTAAAATTCAAGAACTGTACAGAAGTAATTCTTGTACACAATGTTTATACATTGTAGCTACAAGTTTCTAAATAACTTCAGATTTATTTGCCTTATAACATTTTATGTCAAATCAGTTCAAAATTAAAAAACATGAAATTAAAGTGATATCTTTAAAAGTTGTTTTAATAAGGGCTTTTAATTTAATTTTTCTATTTTATTAAATATCACAAAGCTTTTAATCCTTTACTGGGTGATTATGAACCCACCTTTCAATAATTTCTATATGGAGGAAAACATTTTTCCCAGGTGAGGTTTTATCCAAAGTTTTGGAAACAAAATGTTTCTTTTATCCCCTCTCCATTGATATCATCTGGCTCCAAAACCCTAACTGCATTTTAAAAATCCTTTCTTTTCTAGAAAGTTTTGAGCACATTACCTCACAGTCAACCACCTTCCTGCAAGCAGCCAGCAAACCACTGACGTAATTAGTAAACAGGGCAGTGTCTTCCTCAAAAAGTCCAAGCATAGACTTTGCCTAAATGCCAAGAAAAGTAAGAAATAATGACCCACAAAGAACCCCATAACTTTCTCCATCAACATACATGTAACATAATCCAAATTTGACAGCATTTTTTTGTGTATAAAACAACCCAAATCAGGCAAAAAGTAATTTGGGGGTTCTGAAATTCTTAATGTCAGGCATTAGGCCTAGTACTAGTCAGGGACATGCATAAATAAGTGAGGGCGCTGTTTACTTGGAAACTCTTTTTCTTAAACAGGAATTGTGATTAAAATTTGTCTTTTTGCTCACTGTAGCTCCTCTATTTATTTCCAATAGGGTCATTCTATAAATTTGGGGTCCAAAGTGTGACATTTTTCAAAGAAACAAAGTCTACCTTTCTGAAACAACTTACTAGCACTAAAATAAGTTGGTGGCGATGTCCTCTTTTAAATCAGAAGGAAAAGAGGTCAGTGCTCTGGTTTTTGAGGGAAATTATTGGCTAAAATGGCAGCATAAATGATGCGATGAAGAGCTGTGAACGAAAATGAATTAGCGAATGTACAGTAGTCTGTTTCCTTGACCTGGATGAAGGTTTTTTCATGAAATTTAGCATATCCATTTAGCTGGGTTGGATGACTAGACGTGAAACAAAATGGCATGATGCTGTTGTCTTTTGCCAAACTCGGGTAAGAAAATTCTGGTTTTCATGCTTAAATATTTTCAAAATATACCTAACCTAGAGCATGGAGGAAGGACACAGAAGGAGTTTGAACTGCCCCAGCTCTAACATCTAGCCAACTACCACTTTCTGGCATGCCTGGTACTGTATGTCCATAGCCTATACCAGAGAGTAGCAAATGCTTGCTACGCACCACCTGTTACACAACCATAAGCCCTCTTTATACCCCATGATCATCGCCGTAATTTTTTGCTGGTAATCTGCATCCTTAAAACATTGTTTACTGCAGTATAAGTTGAATATTCACGCCATTGTTGGTGCTTGGTATGATCTTGTTGCTTGTATTACGCTGTGTGCCCTAAATGTACATGTGCAGTAATTGCCCTTAATGAATGCTTTCTTTCTGGAGTTATTTTTATAGCCAAGTTGTCAAGATTTTGTGTTTTACAAATCATTTTTATTATGGAATTACACAAAAAGGTATTTTATGGCTTGTGGCGAAATGTGCATTTTGTTTTTCGTGAACTTAACTGTCCTGTGGTGGTCAACATGTTGTTGGCCAGTTTTAGCCAAATTCGTACAAAGACTATGAAAACTGATGTTTTGGAGCGACAAAATAAAATTACAAACATTGCATGGATAATGAAAAAGTGCATCAAACTCTTTTTAAACAATTATTCACGACAGCAAAAGTTAATCTAATATTAGGTATTTTTCTATTTCCTGGTTACTGCGATAAGATATAGTTAATTGGAAAGAAAACACCACAGATATTGCTACGATATTACTGGCCTCACTTGTCTGGCTAAGCTGTAGGCAGTTATCAGGCATTTTTGGAATACTATTGTTTGTCTGACCGGGCGGCGATGATCATTGAGCACTTTGATGTGCCAGATTTGTCACTCCTGTGTTCTTCCTCCATGACTGGAGCTGCTAGGAGTCAGGAATGGATCCTCAAGGTCTGAAAGTCAGTTAGTTTGAAAAGTGGACTTCACTTCCTTCATTATAGGAATATGGTACTAAAGGTAATTAACACGGTTCACCCAAATAAGAAGAATAATTTTACAAAAATATGAATTTTGAGGTTTTCAGTTAAAATCCAGACTCATTTTGGGTACAAAGTAACCAGTTTGCACTCTATTACACGTGTACAAAAAGCATCTCAAAGCATCCTGACTTCCAATTTTTCTTTGCTTTGCAGAGTCTGATGGAATCCAAATTTATTCTCGTGGTCAGCGTAACATCACTATGGAATTTTAACATAATGGCAAAGGGGTAAATTTACCCTTTGCGCTATTCAACAATGTAAAGAAGTTCCTGGATGTCCGACTGAGAGAATTTCAAAATACTTTTCTCATGACATCCTCTCCAAGTTGACTTCAAAAATAAAACGAAAAAAAATTTTGGAAAAATTTATCAGCCTCCCTATATCAGTAGAGTCCACGGGAAACAGTTCCATTAACAGATGTCACTTGACACCCTCCTCCCACAAACCCTATGAGACTAGTTGTGTTTTCTAAGTAAACGACTCAGTGTTTTCCCTCATAAATAATTAAATTTTTCTAGACATGTTTTGCTTTCTGATGGCTAAGTAATAGATCACTGTAGGGAATAATTACTGGCGTTCAAATATAAAAAACTCTTCCTGGTACTTTGACTCAAGAAGAGTTCCATGTACGGATGCCAGTAATCATTCCCTACAGTTATCTATTTGCCATCAGAAAGCAAAAACATGTCCAGAAAAGTCAAAGGCGTTTACTTATGGAAACACTTAGAATTTTTCTGACCAGTCTCATACAGTTTGTGCATGAGGTGTCATGTGGCATCAATGCGTGGAAATCTTTCCCAAGTACCGGTACCTTCCATAGGCTTTCCATCCCGTTAATTCATTTCACTCAAAATAGCTTGCACCCCGAGTCAAAATCCTGCACACGCATGCCGATGACTGTTTCTATGGTTTTCCGAGCGGTGCAACGTCTGGATAGGTGTAGGCCTATGTTATAGGCGCCAAGGCCTAAGCAGCAAGGCCAAGGCCTACTGTCGTGACTGTCAAAATGTGGTCATTCTGTAGGGAATAATTTAAGTTCCCCTTGTAACCTTATTTTTCATCGCACAAACCTGGGGTGAATCTTCCCTTGCATCTTCAAGCCGTAGAAAGTCAATTCCAGGCATCTTGACAATGTAGGAATTTCCACATTCAAGACTCTGCGAACAACCACATTCCGTACACTTGTCACTTGCTTAAACAAACTCCCAACCCACTTTTCAAGGTCAGCAATCCAGGTCAAGAGCCGACTACCAGTTACGCTAACACATGAGGTACAACTAGTCCGGGTAGATTCGCTCATCGAACTCTATCAATGCTTGACACCAGTGAAAGCAGTGTTTACGCGTTGTGCTGAGTTAAACCATTGAGGGCGCGGTTCTTGTAAGAAGTTTTCAACAATCCTCTCACCATCACTGCATGCAGAGATGCATCAAACAAACGTAGCTCGCTGGTATGCAAATTAAAAGAAAAATAAACAAATTGACAAAATAATCAAAAACAAATAATGGCAAAACATTTTAAAAGGCATCCAACCAGGCTTTCACTCAGTTTTTTTTTAGTCAAAATATTTAAATCATGTTTTCCAAAGATATGTAGGCCTACATGTAATACAAAACTGCAACAAACTGCTTGCGGACTACAATGACCTAAAAAGTAAAATACAACCATGCATGGAGTCCATGATACAACAAATCTCAAAATACGGAGGGCCAGACGTTTCGATCCTAGCAGAATCTTTCTGCTAGGATTGAGACGTCAGGCCCTCCATATTTTGAGAAAAATCATGTTTTGTGTCACATCATTACACCACTGGAATTACCAATACCAGTGCTATACCAGGAACCGATAGTATCATGTCTAACCAACACCATTTGTACAACTACAAGGTCTGTTACTGCGGTATTGGAAATTTTGAATTTTGCATTGCCTATGCCAGTTAGTTCCCAGTCGGCAATATTCGTCCAGGTAATCTGTAACTTATGGCCTGAAGATTGGTTCTATTTAAAACAGACATGACAGAGTGAAAAATTTTGTAAGTTTTATCTTTGATAATGTTTAATAAAAGATGTAATTTTTCCAAAATTTGTAATTTTTCCCCTCACCGTGTCTGTCATTACCTACCGCATCTATCTCTTTAATTAAAGATTTTGGTCAACTCATACCCTGGTCAACTCGTACCCTGAAATATGCACCCAAGTTAACTCGTACCCAGGTCAACTCGCACCCGAGTTAACTCATGCCCAGGTTGGCTTGCACCAGAGTCCACTCGTACTCCCCAGGCCCAATCAGCAGAGAATATGCAGAGAAGAATAGGGGTTGATGCTTGCATTTATTGAACGCAAATGTGTGTATCCATTTCCTTTCACCAATCTGATTTCGTCAAATATCCCCAGTGTGTTTCGGAAGTAGGACATAAATGGCCCCAATCTCCATTACAATACAGTTGTATAAATCACTTTTACCCTTCAGGGCAACTAATAATGAATAATTACATTGGCATTAATGTCTGATTCTTTTTGCTTTTCCTATACAATTTAAAAAATTTGCAACAGATATTTAGAATTTCTAACATAAATGTTGGATGAAACAGTTTAAGTCTAATGACATGGTTATAACTTTTGGGAAATTGGAACTCAAAAAGCAGACATTTTTAATGATTGTTTCAGACATCGAAAGAATGAGTCCACCAAAAAAAGTTACGATACCCATATACATGTATTTATTATTCCTTGGGCAAAAAAACCAATGTAAGTAATAAGATGAATGTCAAAGTTGTTGCTGGATCATAAGGTTGGGGTAAAAATGTTTTGGTGAAAAAAAGTGAAGTTATTCCTTGCTGGATTAATAGTGTAAGGTGACGCAGTGCAATTGTTCCGATCTCGTTCTGTCGGCGTATAGCATCTTGAAAGAGATGACTGGAAAAAATGGAGTCACTTAAAGGTGAAAAAGCACATTTTTATAAAATGAGACTATTTTCTTTCCTCTGAAAACAAAATCATTTTTATTTTTCTCCATTCTTTGTAACAAAGTGCTTTAAAGGCCATCATAGAAACCATTTCTCGAAATGCGATAATAGAGACTCCACCTCTGCGTACACATGGTGCACACAGATTTTCTGAGCTATCATACAGGAAAATGAATTGAACCACATGCAAAATTTTATGAATTAAGTTAAAAAGTATGAGTTAAACAATAGCAAGGATAAGATAATTCAGGAAGGTGATGACGGAGCAAACTTTATTTCGATTGGGAAATGTGGTAACTACCGTGATAATAGAGTAACCCATCCTACGTGTATTAATGGATGGTTTCCTCCCCCAATCTGTTTCCTGACCCCCTTTTTTAAAACTGAAGCTAAATCAAATTTCTTTGTTAAACATGCATTCTACACATGTATGTAAAATGAAATTAAACTGGATCCTTGGTGAATAACTACTAGCCAGATAACATTTTTATAAGGCATGTTTTTAGTTCCCTCTCTGCTGTCCGATACAATAAGAAAAATGAGAACAAATCCTAAAGATTTTGCAAAGCTTTGTTTTGATCATTGTACCTATCTCTGGAAAAGGGACAAAGGCCTGCAAGCTCTTATACATAATTTAATTCAACTTTCAACCTGATAGCTAGGCAACTCCAGGCTAAAATGGAAAAATGTACCACTGCTACAAACAAAAATGAGTTTTTCAAAAAGTGCAAGCAGAATTCTGATGTCTCATTCTACAAAACTATTATCAAGTTGGCGTACTAGCTTTTTCCTCCACTTGGAACAAAACTTGACTCTTCCATTCTGCATTGACAAGTTCTGTTTGATACTTTGAATGTGGTCGTCTGGTGGCATGGACAGTGGCAGTTCCAATCCAAAATGATTTATACATTTCTGTTTATTTCAAAATATGGAAATGCCAGTTATTCAATGGCCCTCCAGTTCACTGTAGATGCACATTTTGAAGCCAACAATCAAGGGCAGAGTTGATTGGGCAATGGAGACTCACTCCTTCCCAAGTGTTTCAAAAGATTTGTCCCCCTTACAGCAACAAGCTTAGTTTGATTCTACAGGTTGTCAATGTGGTTGCAGTACAAGACACTCTTTATTGTGACATGTTTGCCTAAACTGCAATGTAGATGCATAGCTGTGTATGTTATGCAAAATACTTTTTTTGTCTACCACTAAACAACAGTTTCAAACAATTTTCCCTCAAATTTTATATCAAACTGTATAAAAAAATCAAATACATAAGTTTTGTTCATTTATTGTGGAAAATTTGTTAAACTGGCTGAGAATTCTGTGTTCAACTTCAGTTGGTAATTATTAACCCTTACAAGATTTTTTTCCCCCAGACCTTCTTCAGCTTGGAGGGGGGGATTCCACCTCCAATGACTCGGCCATCTCATTTACCAACCATTTTGAAACTTGACATGCATGTAAAGATATTCATTATGAGAACAGTTGTGAAATTTCAGTTATGGCCAAGTTCAAGTTCTCGATCACATGTTAGCCCATGTGAATTGAAACTAATGGGCATTTTGGGAAAGTATATGATTTGATTTTTATACAAATCAGTGTCAAAATGACCACAGGACGGTGGAAAAAACTCCAGCAGACTTGGAATAATATTGCAACGACATATAAAAAAAGCGTGAGAGGGGGGCCAATGGCTTTGTTAGGGTTAAGATTACAATGAGATATCCTTCATTTGAAGAACTAAGAGTCTTTGTAAAAGTCATTGAAGTTGAGCCTCAGCATAAATTCCTCCAAGTGAGGTTGGTATCCACGGGTGACCAGCTTGGCAACCACTGCATAAAGAAAAAACCAGAAGCATTAGTTTCTGAAATATTTGAATAGAATAGCTCTTAAAGCAAGAATGTTTACATCATTTGAATGATCACAACTCAAAAAAGAAAAAAAACACAGTGTGCTTGAAGGCATGTCCACATACATAAATGTAGTAAGACATTCACAATAAAGTTACGTTATTGTTTGGGTACCATGAATAACTTCAGCTTGACCATATCATTAGGCTTCAACAAACATGCATGCCTTGCAGAATACAAAATGCACTGTGCAATCTGCAAAGTATCAACGCCATATGAGCTATTGCATGCAGAATGTTAAGATCTTTTATTTGTATACACAGATTGTACACAGTATTACACTAAAAGTGTTTCAATACCGAAGATTCACAATGCGCAAAATCTGTTGACCCAGTGAGCGTCTGGAAAGGGTCGACAGATTTTGCACGATGTGATTGGCCAACACATTGCAAACTCTTGGAGGCCCACTATTATAAATCAACGTTATTAGGAAATAACACTTGTCAGTGAGATTCTTCACTTCACACATATACATGCCTTTTGCTTAATTTCACTTCAGTTCAAGTGACTTTGAATGAAGGTAAGTCACTGGCAAATTTCCACTATCTGACTTTAATCTCTATCGCTGCACTGGCAAGGCCATGAAATGAGTAGAAGAGGAATCCCTCACCAATTCTTGTGGTGAGAAAAAAAGGCAACCTTAGGGCAAACTCTCTCCTACCTTTGTAAAGGAATTCAGAGTAATCCTTGAAGGCCAGGTATGACATCTTGATGGTGTGGAAGCCTGGATGTGAGGCTTGCTTTGTCTCCTTGTTGTATACCCAGGCGGTGGCAACCAGCTGCGTGCGGACTTTGAGGATCAAACACAAGATGTCCGAGATGATCTTCATGACAGGTGCAGCTTTCTTGTTTAAGAGACACCTGAAATTATCCAGACGGAACAAAACAAAAATCAAGCTTGGAAATCTATAACTAATGTTGCTTGTTAGGGGCTGTTACTTTTATTAAAATCAGTATGGGGGAGGGGCTCCAAGAGCAGGAGAGGAAGGAGTAAGAAAGGATGAGGGGCGGAAAGTGAAGGACAGAAAGGTCTAAAAGGTACGTGTGTACATGCTCAAGAGTTTGGTTTTGAAGAACGTTTGAAATGTTTCCACTGAAGTCATTATGCATCTTCTTTTACCCATGAGACAAAAGATTTTGTTGCTAGAATGCAACAAGATATGTCAGATTCCTAAAGCCTCCTTCAAAATGTAACATAAATGTACTTATTCACTTCCTTGCCCAACTGTACAGAAATGAAAGACTGCTCGGTTTTAACAAATTAAGTTCATGTCCTGATGAGCATTAATCAAATTATGTATGTCTTTATTCTTTGTCAAAAGAATAATACCAACAAGGAACTTAAGATTTTTTTAATAAATACCTGAAGACTGCCTTGTTGAGATACTCGGCATGTTTTTGGTGAAGGTCATCAAGATTATACACCTAAAAAATATAAAATGTTTTGCTGGTTCAATTATTGAAAACAACTAATACCAATTAAATCACACTAAGCATTGGTAAAACAGAATGAACTCTTGCGTGGATAAAAACCTGTTCCTTTTCAAGAATATGGTACTGAGAAACAGTAGTACAATGGACATTCAATATTTGTAGAAGTTTGGTCTGATTTTCTTCACGACCAAATAAGGGACGAAGATGATTCTGCCCAAGTAGTCCCGCTGATGCAGTTCTTTAATAATTCTCCCACTCTGGTTGTCATAGTTTGTTTACCACCACAGCCAGTGCATGGAATAGTGTTAGTCCCCAACGGACAAAGCACACTCAAGGTTTTTGTAATCACAACTGAAACTGCCACTCCCTTCTTAGCTAATTTTCCATTAAAACAAGCTGGGCCCGAGAGAACATCATTTTTACATGCTACAAAGTATGTACATTTTTGATAAAGTTGAGACTTCAGTTATACTTTTCAGTATTTTGATGACCTCCAAACCAAGGGAGACCATTTCTTAGGTTACAGATTTCTGAACTTTCTAGTTTGTTATCATAGACTGGCAATTTTTGAATGAAAAAGGTTACCTCAGTTTTAAGTTGCCTTTGGAACTCCTCCCACGATACATGAATGACTTGATTTGCCACATAACCCTGCATGACATTTACAAAGTGCTGCATCTCATGTCTAACCGGTAAGACAAAAAAAATAAATTATGACTCCAGAACAAAGTTTGAAAACTCAACCAGCTGAATAATGTCCTACTTTAATGTACACATACTGTGGATCCTCTATGTCCACATGAAATAAATGCACAAACCTCACTGTAGTCTTGCACTACAGATCAAACAAACACAAGCCATTTTTCAATGTCTACAGAGCAATAAGGAAATAAAAAAATTAATTGTAGGTTTTAAAGTTGTAGGTAAGTTCAGAGGCATAACTTTAAAGAGTGACAGATGCATGTAGTTGGAAATAAATATTATAATGCCATGGTCTCTCTCTTAACTTACCTGAAAAGCTGCAGTTGCCGAAACTGTGGTGAGTTATCAGCATGACTAACCATGGCTGCAAAGTAATCACAGAAACATTAATAAAACTACTCCATAAAATCATTCTAGCACATTCATATATAGTTCTATCTATCTGATCATCTATTCACAATGACAGATATCCACAGTACATCTATTCAAAGTTTTGAAAGGTTTTGATTCCAGTTTTCTTCACATTTCTGTAAACATCCCCAAAACATAGGTCAATGGCTTTGTGCATAAAATACCAACACAGAGATCAGTGTTCCCTTTGTTGACTGTAAAAGTATGGTAATGTATACTGAAATTGTATGGTCATATGTAATTGACAGGAGGGATAGAGTTGCTCTCACCACTTCTCTTGAGCTGGAAGTAAATATCCCTTAGGACCCATGAGATACGCTTCAGTTGCAGCAAGAAGGAGAAGACGCGATTGTACTTGGCTAGACAGGTGTCAGTAATGACGATGTTACAAGGCCAATCAACCTAATCATGAGGTAACGAGAAACCACTTTTTTTTATTGGGATCCACTGACTGACGTGACAGTCTTGAATTCAAGGCTGATAAATGTACTCTGCAAGCTAACTGCCTGCTTACAGTGCATGGTGCATGTAGTATGCATGAAATCGACTAACATGAGGTGCGTGTTCAACTCTTGTCGTTTCAATGATCATGGAGCTTTTTTGAAATGAGTGGATTCGGGTAAGGCTTTGCTTTTGGCTGGTTCCAGCCATTTTGAAGCAGTGTTCGAAACCAATTGTTCAAACTCTGACTGGAACCAGCGAAAACAAAGTCTAAGCTGAATCCACTCATTTCAGAAACACTCATTACAGAATGCAGACGCAGGAGCGCATGTCACTTCGCATGCAAGCTCAGCAGTCTTGTTTTTAAGGCTACTAAAGGGAAAGAGCTACATGTACACAGTGCAGGCAGTGTGCGACCGTCATTTACCTCGAGATGCATAGAAGTGAACATAAACGCATTCCTGTTTGTTTTCTGGCCTTTTCTTTTGAGCCAGAAGGAAAAAAATGGAGAAATAGAATTTCAGGGGCTTGATAAAACTAAAAAATGGCACCCATGATTTAAAAACGCATTTTTTAAAAACTTCCACTGGAAGTGTGCGCAAGCGTTGACATAACGCACATGCACGTAGTTACTATAATTTGTTGGTTAAGTAGGGGGCCATCTTGTAGCTGCGTTCAACTGAATGTGAGAATGTGTCCAAGATGCTGAATTCCAGCGCAATTCAAAACGTGGCTCTGCAGCTTTTGATCTGAAATTGAAATCTTAGAATATTGTTTTTCTTGGGATAGACAGCATTTCGGTGAGCTAAAAACTTCACCAAGTTTGTTCTTAGGAACTCTTCTTTAGATTTTGAGAAATTTTGTTGTTTGAAGGACACATAACATACAAACGGCCATCATTAACAGTGTCTAGGCTCTATCATCCTAAATCCTGCTGAGGCCTAAAAACCTCCAGGTGGATTTTGTGGAAGAAAATTTACGAGCCATTTTCATGATTGTTAAGATGTTAAGAGAGTATGCACAGGGAGTAATATAAAAGAAATGATACTTCATTTTCAGCAGCTGTCCACTGCTATCTCTTTACATTGTCTGAATGTGAACAGAGGATGTTGACACGTTTCTTACCCTGTATCGTAGCTCCAAGCAATCAAATGTATCAATAGCTGTCAAAGAAACACATTGAGAATTCTAAAACTGGTATAAATGGGGGCATTACAGAATTGTTGCTATTGTTAGACACAGAAACTTTGCTTGTAGTTACACAGTCAGAAAAAACTTGTAGCCACTAACTGCACACGTGCTATTCATGATTATTTAAAGCAATTCTTCATAGCATAATATGTTGTGATAAAATGTGGGGAAAGTAATGACAAGAAACCTAAGGGCAGTGTGTAAGAAAGCAAGGAACCTAAGCGTAGTGTGTAGAAAAGCAAGGAACCAAGGGTAGTGTGTAGGAAAGCAAGGAACCTAAGGGCAGTGTGTAGGAAAGCGAGGAACCTAAGGGTAGTGTGTAGGAAAGCAAGGAACCAAGGGTAGTGTGTAGGAAAGCAAGGAACCTAAGGGTAGTGTGTAGGAAAGCAAGGAATTTGCTCCAAGTCTATCATGATCACAGAAAAATGACATTCCTTCCCAAACAAAAAAAGAACAAGAAATTGTGGTCTTGCATTACAAGAAGTTGGAAGAGTGCTTGTTGTACCACACATGAAATCTGATTCATCAAAAACAACATTCCCATTGATTAAAATTTACAAAGGTTCCTTCACCCTCTACAAAGTCTTTACAATATTTCAAATCTGGTGGCTGGTGAAAGTTGGCGATTAATGGTGGTTTGCTCCATTCTTGAATAACTATGGGCATCAACAAGCTCTTGACATGAATATGAACGTTTTAGACAAGAATGAGAACATGACTGACCATTTGGTTTGAAGTGGTGAGGGAGGTATTTCAGGCTGAAGCCTAGGTTATTGGTATACTGAGACTCTCTGTTGGCTGAGTTCTGGATGGCTCTAGCAAGGACTTGGTTCAAGACGATGGGTGTCAGCAGCTCATTGGGTCTCATACCCTGAGACAGCTGTCAGAGCAAGAAATGCACACATTTACATTTCCACAAGGTCATCACTTCCAAAGGTCTCGCATTTACTAGCAGAACAATGAGGTTGCTTTTAATCAAGAAAATGTAAACGTTGATTTTTACACTAATGTAAGCCATGCATGCTTAATTTGCTAATTTGCAAACATCACATCAACTATATACGGAAACTGACAATGTGCTTGATAATAATTGTAAAGAATAACGTAATTGAGTAGAGTGGAATTTGGATCTGCAATCTCTGGGACACAGTGTAAAGGTATGGCTACATGTTCAAGATAATTTCTGAACAGAAAACAGGTTTAAATAATACTAAGTTAATTCATTTCAATCACATTATAAAGATGAACAAAGAAATTGACTGGAGCGGGATTTTAACCTGCGACCTCTGGAACACTGTACTAATGCTCTACCAACTGAGCTATCCAGCAATATAATTATAGTAATTGTCAACATCTTCGTTCAGGAGTGCTAGTGAGAAGCCATTAAAGCATGGTGTATGAGGTTCATAAATATTTTCCAAGGTATTACAATGAGTTACATGTGCATTGAATGACTGACCTTGTCAAACAACTGGTCACAAAGTGATTGGCCAAACTCGCCATCTTCCAGAAACAAGAAACTCCGAATGGATTTGAAGTGTTGACCAATTTTCAGCTCCACCATGAAGTAGTCCAGAATACTTTGATTGACCAAACTGATTCTGTCCGGTGGAGAGAGGCAATTAAAACATTAAGTGCACAGTCAATTTGTATGAATGTTTTTCTGAATTGAGAATGACAAGTTCAAAGAATACACAGTAGCCTTCCATTTGCATTCACACTACAAGCCGTGGCAGATCTGTTTATTAGAATACAAGAACACGAAAGAAATGAACCACAGCCCTCCATTTTCTATTGTACTCCTGAATGTTAATGAGCTTGAATTAGGCTATATGCCAAAGGTTGAAGAGTGCTCTAGAAATGAGAGAATGCTCCTGTCCAAGGGATGAAGACATGAGCTACATACCAAAATGTAGCATTTTATGCCCTTATTTAGAAAAAAAATGTTCATGTGGAAATACATGTACTGGTTCATGCAGCTGAAATCCAAGATGGCCACTGAAATTCAAGATGGCCACCACGAAATCCTAAAAAATGCATAATGCAAGCTATTTCCCTTTTTGGTGACCATTTTTTCCCACTAGAAGAGGTTTCTGGACAAATACAATGTACTTGTACACAATATTGATATCCTACAGTATGATAACATATCAATAGTAACAGATCTGTCTTGCATTGTGTTACACTTTCAATCATGTTTTGAGAAAGCTGTCAATTTCATTAATCTATGTACATAATGCCCCAAATCTATAATGGTAACCTGTTACAGTCTATTACACTAAATATGCTCAAAGTAGTCTTGTTTAATTGTATGTTCCCTCAGATGGATGGTAAGTTGTTTGCCAAAAGGGAGGATCCTACAAAATTGGACGCACACAAGTGCGCAGTGGGGACTGCTTTCTTCCTTTTCCCCAGCTTTTACAAACTCTAGAAATCTGTCAGTGTCTCTGTTTTCCTTACAATAGTTCTTGAAACATAGTCAGGTTAATGTAGCTTTCTGAAGGGAATGTTCCTTACAGAAAGAAGGGATAAAGAATATTTCACTTGGTCATATAACTCCGGAATGAACTCAATGAAAAAGCCTCATTAGCCAGAGAGCTGTCTGTAACAGTGATCAAGGCTCTCATTTCAGCAGGAAATCTAGTATACTAGACAGGGGGTTGTAGCTGACAAAGTTACTGGGAAGACTAGGAAGAAATTTGATATATCAGCCACAATAAACACCCCCCCCCAAAAAAGAAGCATATTTTAGTCTTCTGTATACATTGTACGTGTGTGGCTGGGCAACGCTGCCATGCCATGCATAGTTTCAAGAGACTGACCAGTGCTTAATCTTGTTATGCTGTGGAACTCTGCATAATAGGGGTAATGAGTATAACTCAACTTGAAATTCACAGGACCATCAAACTTACTGGTTATGGTACTTACTAGATCAGCAATAACGTTTATCTATAGTCCTGGTCAAACCACCCAGAGGGAATTTTGAGCACTGATGACATTGGTTGCATAATCTGCAGACCACAGGATACATGCAGATGGGGACTATTTCCTACACTATCTAATACAAACGACTCAAAGTTTTGAGGCATGTTGATCACATGAACTTTAGCAAATATATAGATCAGTCTAAATACTGGTCAGCTGAAGGTCAGACAATGTTTACCTAAACATCCTAAAAATGTGAAATTGAGCATTACCCATAGCTTCTAAGGCATGTCTAGAGCCATCCTAAATCTGCCACAATCCGTTAAACAGTTGAGGAGCATCAAGTCCAATGAAAAGTAATAGCAGCTGGATTTTACCATTCTTAAACCTTCTAATCATGCAACACTCAAAGTGGATTTGAAGGATCTGGGAGGGTAGGGTTAAATATGCCCTCATCTAAACTTGCTGATAGATTTTGGAACCCAGGTACTGAAGGCAAAGTTTGAATGACATCTAGAATGACTTACTGGGCCAAGAGTGGGGAAGTGACTGATCTCTTCATGATGATAGGTAATGACTGCAACTCAACAGCATCAATGCTTTCACTCTCGGCAGCTTGTAAGCCATAGTCACCAATCTCTGTTGTCAGTGGCATGAATCCAATGTTGGATAAAAGGTCTGGCATCGGAGGCTTGTCTGGAGAAAAATAAAATATAATTTTTTTAAATCCCAGGCAATGATCTGGACTTGAAAAGGTCATTCACAAGTGAGCAATCAAGTGCAGCAAAATGCCCACATGGGACAGGTATTCCCATCAAGAAATTCCCATTCAGGACAATCATTTTCATACATAAATCCCCATTAAGAAATACTGATACACAACACAAGCACATCCCTGTGCAAAAATTCCAATACGCAAGTCAAGCGTCAATGTTAAATGACATTTTTATTCTTTATTTTAATGATCGGTGTTCTTAGAACACTACACCTTAGTTTTTCAACACTTTCTGTAGAGACAAACAAGAGTTAAATCCTGCTTGTTTTAGTATGAGTTTTCCTTAAGGACTCTTGGAAATCTGCACACAGAGCCAATCTGTGTTCATCAGTGGAAAGCAAGAATATATTGGATCCTTATACTAGTTACTTACCAAGGGCTTCAAAGTTATCTTGAAACAGTTCCACCCCTTGGCCTGTCCAGACAACGACCGCTTGCTGTGCCATGGAATGATCACTGTCTGTGTTATCAACTGTTTGTTTTTCCATCTCTGCCCCCCTCTGCTCATCAAGCCTTCCCCTACCATATATGACATTCTGTGCTGTGGAGTCTGAGGGGTGCTGGCTGTGATGTACAGCTACAAGACTTGTCCTGTCTGGCTGCCTTTTGACATCCACTGTCTGCTGATCATGAGGGTGAAGCAAGGTCTGTATTGTGGAATCTGAGGCATGGCCAACTGGCAGTTTGAAAACTGCACCGACTTGTGTCACAAATTGAGTGACACGTGAACTTGTGTCATGATCGATGCTGGCTGATTGGCTATCAGGCTTTACCATCACAGAGTCCAAGTTCTTGCTCAGTAAATCTGAAACTTGCCTGTGGGTGGCTGATGGGTACAACACATCACCAAGGGTGGAATCCCCAGCATGTCCAAATGCACTTTTCCTTTTCACTCTGCCTTCCCTGCCTGACTGGTTTCCCTGTGAAAATGAATAAGATGTCTTGCTGTCTTTGGCTGAGGCTGCTGATGAGGATTGTTCCACTGAAACAGTAGGGAGGGGTGCAATTCTGGAGCCAGAGGGACCAATATGACCTGTTGAGGTGCTCTCTTGTTTGAGATTTTCCTGTGATGAAGAGTCCTCTGTAACAGCACAGATACCAGGAGGCTGGGTCTTTTTATCTGTGGGATACAGGATGTCACCTAATGACGAGTCCCCAGCATGTCTGTGACTGCTTTTGATAACTGGCCTCATTTCCCCTTCTGTTGACTCATAACCTACTCTGTAACGTGAATCAGCAGGTCCCCCGCGAGTGCTCAAGAAAGTAGGTGCAGAATGCCCTGTGACAGAGGAATATATGATATCTCCAGCAACTGAGTCTGAGGGATGTGCTTGTGATGTTGCAGGTAATGCAGGATCCACAAAAGATGGGAGTCCCAGCATTTCATCAACTACATTGATAGCAGGTGGATGCTGTGAGGACAACTCCTGGTTTGGTACCTTAGATGGCAGACTAGATCCAATCTGGATCAGAACATCCTCAACATCTGCATCGTTTGAAGATGCCATCTCAAGGCCATCATCCTCAATGGGCTCCCTAGGGAGAAAGTCTTGAATGGATAGATCCATAAGGTTTGGTGTCGCCTCTACCCTTGTTGGGTTTGTTCCCATTGATCTATCATCACCACTACTCTGACCAATCATCTGAAGTGTGCCTTCAATGTCTTCATTAGGGAGTCCATCAGTTTTTTCCACATGAGTTCCAATGGGGATCAGCCCACTAGGTGCATCCCCCGTTAGTAGGTCTGCCTGTGGAAGGTTAGGCTCTTGGCTTGCTTCCTGAGTGGCTACATATGGAGGAACCGTGTGGGTTCGCATCTTTGATGCTCCAGCTTCATTACTACTACCAGTGGGAAGATTCACTGAATGAAGTGTTTCAAGGTCTTGTCTTGCTCCACTTTCTATCAGAATCCTGTCTGCAGAGGCGACCGTGGTTCCCTTTGAGCTCTCACCGACCCCTGATCCCCCTTTAGACTCATTGTCTGGGATATCGAGAGGGGTCATGGTTGACTGCTTGTTGGCAAGTTCTTCTCTGATTTTCATTTCTTCTTGAACCATGAATTTCAAACGTGCTTGATCCAGCTGATGTCGACTGACACGCCACAGGGCTTTGCGCTCTCTAGCAGCTGCTTCTTCAGTTAGTTGAGCATAGTACTCAATCATCTCCTCCCTGAGATGGTGAATCACGAGAAAATCTTATTACGTGCTATCACAGATAGTTACATAACACTCACAAAATCAAACCTCATGTCAAGAAAAAGAACTTTTAGGGCTGTGCCGAATATCCAAATGCTCGATTGTTTATTGAATATTTGAATATCATCTTCTGAATTTGAATATTCGAATGCAAAATTCATGAAAAAGAAGGGAGAATCTTCTTTTTTTTTAATGAGAACAATTGCAATATTCAATTACACTAACAATTTGCATTTCATAGTATGACACCTCTCCCCTCCCTCAAGAAATCGTACTACAGCAGCCTTATTTGGAAAAGTAAAACTCATAGCATATAACATTTGATACTTGCAGTTATACATGCATGCTCTCTGATGTACTTGAGTTGGAAGTAGACATTACATCAAAGTAAAAATGTAAGAACTTTTAATTAACATCCACTTCAAATAGGAGTACATTTACATTGGATTTATTAATCAAATATCTCTAAAATTGCAGAATCTATGAGTGACACCTAACAATATCAAGTAATGAATACTTTTACTTGTGGTACACAAGCTAACCTAGCCTCCCTTGATGACATGCACCATTGTATTGTCCTCAGTTTCAGATCAGCAAAATGCAATACTTAAGGAATAACCTCAGGAAAGTATCACTACATTCTATTTAAAAAGAGTCAATACTGGGCTACCATGCAGCATGCATCCTACCTCACTTTCTGTTCTACTTCATATTGAGCCCTTGCTTCGCCTTCTTCCCTTTTGGTCAGTGCATCCATCCTTTCAATATCCTCCTGTCTCTCTGCCTCTTCTGTGAGTGCACGACGCTGAATAAAAAAAGATAACTTCACACTAATTGCACATGCCGATGAATATGGATGAATAAACCAAATGTCCCAAGCAACGTCCAGCAATGAATGAGGTTTTATAAGATGATGACATTTGACTAACCACAAGATCCCTCTGCATTTGGTCCTTAAGTTGCTGGAATTCTTGTCTCTTCTTGGCATCTTCTACCATTCTCCGTTCTTGAATTGCATCTACATTGATAAAAATTGAAACTGAATGGAAAATGCAGTGTAAAGATGACTGAAAACCTCTTTCCCAAGGAAACCTTCTGAGAGATTATTTGCAACTGATGGCACAGCTGTTTGGCATTCTAATGAAAGCCAAGGCATCGTCACTGAGGAATTACCTTGGAGTCGTTTCAGCTCTTCTGATGCTGCCTGTCTTGCTTGACTGATTAATGCCTGTCTTGCTTCTGATTCCATCAGCTCCTAAAAATATTAACAGAAACAATACCGAGACAATATTTTCTTTGCTGTGCAGATGAGATAAAAACAAACTTGAATAACAAAATAAGAAAGGACAAACTTGCAAAATAGGTAATACTAGATTGTCAATACCAGATTACAGCCATTTGCCTTTTGTACAGATTTCGAATTAAGGTCTGTCCATATATTGATAATATCTGATACATTGATTTTGCTTTGATATTGGTATGAACGATATCACTTGAACGCTGAAATCCATATATTGAAGGTGCTGATATAGTGAAAAAAATGAAAAATCAAAATTATAATAAAGTAGTTGTTACACACAATGTCTCGTCCAAGGTGAAAGAAGACGTTTGTGCCTTTTCCTAGAATTGTACTTAATGTGGGCCACAAACTCAAAGGCAATAAATTGTTGCAGTTTTCAGCCCAATAAACCTCTGACTCCCCTTTCGTGAATTGAATCTTGACACCGCCGGTTTACCCTAATCTTGCTGACTGTCTTGAACTGAATCTTGACACAGTCAGCTTGCTCTGATCTTGCCGACTGTCTGATCTTGCTGATGACTGTAGCGGTCTCGCGGACTTGTTAAAATGTTTGCGCTAGTCCAGTGGCATCGTTAGGATTTTACTATTGGGGGCACAAGGGGGCACCAGCATCTTATGGGGGAACCTGCTTTCAGTGGTGTGTTTTTGGGGGCAAGTTTTTGTTAGCCTTGTTTAAAATCCATTCATCCATTTTTTCTTTCAGTGGGGGCATCTGGGGGGCTACCGAGAATTTGTGGAGGGCATGTGCCCCTTCCCGTGGCTACGGCACGTTTTTTGCAGTTTATTTCCTCTGTAGGACCGTCCCCTAACCTGTAGAGTTTGCCCTTAACCTTTTTTGTGTTCCTTTGAAGGGTCCAGATTATTTTCATTTTGCCATAAATGGATCATAAATAAAGATTAAATCCTTTAAAAGAAATCTGGAAAAAACGAAAGCCATGCAAAGACACCCAGTCTAATAGTGCTGTTAAGGTAGTACTGTTACTTAGCAATGTGGCTCTGAAATCAGCAGGGCATTCCAGACATCAGAACTGGCCAATCTACACCTGGAGCATCTTGATTTATACCTTTTGCGCACCTTTTATAAGATTTCATGGCTTTGTCAATCATTTAGTCTTTCCTTGAGACCCCAGTGCGTGATGTTGAATCATGCAGAATGCACCTTCTTAATGGCCAACATGCTGGTTAGTGTAGCAAGTCCAAAAACACATGAAATGGTGCTCTACTACAATGACCCAAATAATCCCCGACGCCTCGAACTGAGACTGATAATCTCACAGCCCGCACATGCAGTTCCCATGCATTTTTCTTGGCAATGACCCAAAACTGCGATCAATGATTGTTTGCCGAGTAGGCTGAATCAACAAGGAACCCGAAAACTGCATACATGTACTTCAGTGTTGAGGTCGGTTCATAAATGTACTTGAATGGGCCTTACATCACAGTGGGCGCTAAACGCTTTCCAACCACAGCATGGTTCAAACTTGAAAATTGTACTGTATTTTGGGGGCAGGTTTAGCAAGTCAGTTGATTTGGGTATAAAAGAACTGAACCATCAATAAGGTCTGCCCTTCTAGTCACCGGCAAGCTGGGAGCTCGGAAGCTGTGCACTGGTTCTTTAGAGAGGCAAGTCACAGAGCAGGCTGTCATGATCATGGAATGGCAAGACTTGGAGTGAATGTTCATATTAAAATGAGATGAGCCATCAGTGATGCTGGGCATTCCAAACGTTGATATCGGGAATTATCTATAATCGACAGAGTTTACTTCAAATTAAAAAAAGAGATTTTTTTAAAGTCCAGTTTCTTAATTTTTGGCACAAATAGCCCAGTCTGCTTTGAATGTATAACCCAGATAATAATTTCAGCCTAATTCAAAGGCTCAGGCAAGAAAACCAACACCCCATGAAAACTTTCAGTTGATACATTTACCTGTTCTTGCCTTGAGATGGTTTTCTGTCTGGCCAGTGCTTGCATATGACCAATGTAGACTGCCGTTCTCTTGGCTGAGTTGTCTAACTCTTCTGTGGAGAAAGTCAAACTAATCCTTGGAATAGAAACCCCAGGATTGCACAGAAAATGCTGCAAAATAAGAATGAAAGGGACGCACACATTTATAATACTTGCTGATAAAGTTTGTAAAATTCCATGAAATAAAGATTGATTTGTTCTACAAGAGATGAACGTTTTACACAATTTACCTCTGGACAACAGAGACGCAATAAATTCAACGACTTTCCACAGACATAGATGTCATACGCCAGATCCTTCAAAAACAGGGGGACATTCTCCTCAGCACTGTCCGACTTCATGACAAATCCTTGTGTCCAGTAATGCTTATCTGTGGACAGGACAAATTCAACAAATTATTCTATAATTCTATTTATTTTTTTCAAGAAAAAAAGTCAGTAAAAGAAATGCAACCTTAGCAAATAAGATCCCTTCTCAGAAATTACAGTGGTAGTCTGCTTGTTTCATTTCACACAATTTTCCGAAAGTGCAAAACTACATACTCCATGCAGCACTACTGCCAAATAGTAACAAGGCAAAAAGTTCTAATGTCAAAGGAATCTGAAATGCCATAGTAATCACGCGCTCATGCAGTGATATACTCATCTTGTGCAAATGCTATGGTTTCAGGCACATTATAAATTGGTTTCTAGCACTCCACAAGTTGCATGTGTGCAGGCGTGCCATGTATAGTGTGGACCTCTGCACAAAAGAAGTCCACATAATGTAGGATGCGATGGTGTAATGTGGACCCGCACACGTCCACACAATGTTTCCCCCTCTCTGAAAGTTTCAGGGGCATTTTGGGGGCAAGGCTATCTGTGGCAAAATGAAGATGAACAGTCCATGGAATCATCATCAAAAATCCAACTTGACAGAGTTATACTAGTTGGAGGAGAAAACGAGCATTTTCCTAAAGTTTCTTTAACCAAAGGAGAATAAAGGAATGTCCACACTTTGTACGTAAAACAGGTATGGGTGTGCAGCTGTGTGTGTGCATACATCCTATGGCAGCTCTCCTGTGACATGCATGTACTGCCACGCATGACTTCAGCTGAGTTCACTATGAACAATGCTAAGAATGAAAGGATCCTCACCTCTGTAGTGAAGGTATTCATCACTAACAGATATCAGGAACTCCCCAAAGACATCACGACAGATTCCATTAAACACCCAGTCTTGGATAAACCTGAGCAAACCAAAAAAAGACCTTGTAACTATCATGTTGCAATGAAATGTGAACAGCTGTCTTGATGTAAAGAAAACATTGCAAATGAACAATCTCACTCCAGAACCAGTTTCTGACAGGTTTTCTGCATTGATATCTTACAAACACACATTTGGAAATAAAATGTTCATTCAATCTGTCGCCTGATGAAACATTTCTTGTACATCAATATGTTCACATCATAAATTGAACATGGAGTCTACAGACTTCTATGCTTTAATGGTAAAGACAAAAAATCATGCAAGTAACTGAGACATGTACCCCCCATTTTCAACTCACATCAAGTAAGGTCCACAGCTACTTCGAAGTAGCGATAAAACCAGCTGGTATCTGTCCTGGAGACTACAGTCCAGAGCCTCTTCATACAGGTAGGAAAGCAGCTTGATACCAAGAGGAAAAGTGTCTCTTGGATCTCCTGGCTTGGTAATGAGAGGGTGATTGCAGCCACACAGATCAGCAAGGTACCTGTAGGATTCATCAAGGAGGCATTAAATACAACAGTCCTAGTTGGTAGATCTAAGAGGCTGGGACTTGTGGACTTTCTAGCTTGGTATTGAGACAGTGATTGCAACCACAAAGACCACTCAGGTACATGTATCTAAGGGGAAGTTCATTAGGGAAGGATTAGTTATGACAGTCACTACTGGTGTGTCACAGAGCCGTGACCTGGTGTTTTCTGGCTTAGTTTTGAGCGGCTGATTGCTTGCCCACAGATCAGCTAGGTACCTACGCAAGGATTCATTAAGGTAACATATGACAGTCCATGTTGGTGTGCCTTGGAGACTGAGCGTTTCGGGTTTCTTGCTTGGTGTTGAGACTGAGATTACAACAACACATACATGAGGTCAGGCGTTACCACACAATAGATTAAAATTTTAAATGACCTGAAGGCTCAATTAAATACGTTTCAATCTATTGTGCGGTAAAGGGCCCTTTGTATGCTTTACGTAAGAAAGAGGAAGAAAAACGATATACATGTGCACAGTACAAACAGTAACACTGGTGTACCATAATTCTGCAATGTTATCTAGTGAGCATTGGCATTGTAATAACTTATTTCAAGTTAACAATAACAACAGGCCTTACACTAAGAACAGAAAGTATTAAAATTGCCACTTTTGAATTTATAGTCAGGCAAATGGGCATTTGCTTTTAGAGTAAAAATAGCAAAGTGCATTGAGTTAGAACAGCGCATTACGCAGGGTTTGACATGGACTGTGCAACACAGTTATATGTCACATTGTTTGTTGTCATGGATTGACTAATCAGAATGGAGAATTCAAGTTTGCCTGAAGTCAATGTCTTGCATCAGTAATTTTGCATTAATGCCTCTCAAACCATGTTGCCTTTGTGTATTATTAGACACAGGTAATGGACAGCTAATAAGATACAAAGCTGCATTTAAAGATTCTGTTAAAACAAACTTCTTTTATCAAACCCTCTTAATAAGAATTCATTAAAAGGTTGTGAAGGATTTGGAAGATTTGGATGTAGTAAAAAGTCAAGGAATCAGGGTATATAATCTATTAGCGACTTTTAAGACAACTGTTGCCTGTTGTTGTTTTGAGCCAACAATACTGAAAGGGATGGAAACATTGAAACAACATTGCTATGGAAATAAGAAAAAAAGTTTTAGGCAAGTCTAAGGCCAAAAATAAAATTGTTGAAATAAAAGTTTCCACAGGGAAGATACCTCAACTGTTGTATCATCTTGCCATACATAGCTTTGATTGTCATCACTGTCACCTTCCCATCACTAGAGGGCCTCCTCATTATTGCAGCTTGGTAGTACTGTAGAAACCTCCTAATGCCACTAGTAAATGCCTGCAGCACCAGACCACCAGTGTAGGTAGAGTCAAGCACCCTCTGCTGGGCAAAACTAGATAGTCTGCAGTGATCTGTGCCAGCCTGGGCGAGTTCTGTCAGTAGTTGGTTGAAGCTACCAGGGGTAGTTCCCGTCAAACACACATCAGGGTTGATGACAAAACACTGGGCTTCCTAAAAGCCAAATATTGAATGAAACAAAAGAGACGAATACATTAACCATGTGTAATGCAAAAACTGGACACGGTGCGGTAATCTAATGGTGCCAAACACTGTACCGTACAGTGCTGGTATACCAAACACTGTAACACACTGAACAATTCCCATTGGCTCCCAAACTTTTTCATACACTGGAAATTTACATTAAATAAAAGAAATACATTAAGGACTGACGATAATGACTTGAGAGTTATTCAGGAAAATCTTGTTTGTGATGGAACAACACTTTACAACAGCCAACAGTGCTTGCTTACATTTCCAACTTTAGACATATATCAACATATATCACAGTGATTCCAGTGCTATAGAATGGTTCCCACCAATCTATTATAGTTCTAATGCAATAGTAGGAACCAGTGTACTGTAAGATGTATTTTTAAGTGCTGACTCAAGTAGATCTTGATTTCACTTTGATATCAGACTTCCAGTGAAAACTACCCAAAAGGTGAAACAGCAAAGAAAAAGAACATAAATACAACTACATGCAAGACTTTTAATGTAATTTCTTTCCAACTCAGTTTTTAGATGTTTGTTAGGAGCACTGACCAACTTGAACAGGTGACTAAAAATCGCCGTACCAAATGACCGCAATACTGAACATTTTCAGTATTGTGTTGACCCATCCTGTTCTTTATATTGAAACAAAACAAGGACACCAAACTGATTAGGCATTACCGTGCTAAGTTCATTACACCATGGTTCATCCATTTTTGTCATCATTTTCACGAGCGTACAAATTGTTTGTGTACGAGCGTAAGGTGAATTGGTTACGTACACTTTAGAAACGTTAAAAATGACAATGAAAAAATGACGATTTATGAATGCCAAGTATTACAGACTGGCATAGTTTACACTTCAAGCTGCTATATGCACGCTGTCTGGTTGTAGTTTCAGCTCCTGTTGAAGCACAAACATCTATTGCTCCAATATGTACAAGTGAAAAAGAGTTCCATTTTTCATTGTGTAACGTAAGAAATATCTTTGTAAGCCATCAAATCAAACATGGCTGAACTAGAGGATCAATACAAGAAATCTGTTGCTTCTAATGTGAAAGGAGGAACAACTCACAAGGAAATTTCTCACAAGCTCCAAGGCAACTTTCATCTTGAGAAGTACTCTGAGACGTCCATGAAATTATGTGTGCAGTTGCTTGAAATTGGGATTAAACTTTAACACTTAAGATAACTTTTGTTTTTCATTTTCAAAAGGAAAACAAGAAACGACTTCTGCATCTTTTTCCACATTTTCAAACCGAAAACGACTTTTATTTTTAATTTTTGTTTTCCAATCAACAGAAAACAGAAAACTTGTTTTGATTGTTTGATACTCGTTTCCAAATCAAAAAAATGAATGAACAAAAAGTACACGGCCCGTAAAACATTTTTCAAGCTTCCAGCCGTCAAAGCTCCGCTGCGCCTCATTTGCAATAACCAATGAGGTTTGGTATCCAGACACTAGGGCATTTTATAGTTCATTTGTGTACGCATTTTCCTTTATGTAGACAGGTGCCCTGCTAAGTGTACAGCATGCTTAATGCATTAATATGCGACTTTAACAATGCAAAAATATTATTGTACACCACATAGCTGTATACTTTTACCACTTTTTATAAGTTTTTGTGAAGAAGACAAAAACATATCAAAGGTAAATTTGCTGACTGCTATTCTTGGCCACGAAAAACAAACACTTTTCTTTCAAGAAAAAAATACCTGTCCATGGCCACAGGCAATTTGTTCAAAATTTTTGCATGCCCGAAAGCATGTAAAGGAGAAATTATTCTCCCGGGCAATTGGACAACCATTAATGTCCAGGCTTGTCATGGACATTGGTCTTCCTCCTGCCACTATTCTCTGGACGTATACTGCAGATTAACAGCCGTACATGTTGAATTAGAATGGGTCCTCAGGCACCATAGAGAAATCCGTATTTTGTACTCTTTTAGGGGGAAGGGGGCAAGGAAAGAGCACTCTTTGTACTTTTGACAAAAATGGATGACTCTTAACCAAATAAGCCATATGCGAGTTAAATTTGAATAAAATCCAGTACACTGAGGTCTTTAAATTCACGTGAACATAACAACTTGAACTCTCCATACTATTGCTATACCTCGTGATTCGGGCCAAGCTTTTGCTAAGTTACATAAGAGACGCCTTGCAAGAATACAGTTTTCTCAATGGATAAGAATGGCAAGAAGGAACCAGTCCATTCCAGAGACGGTGGTCGCTATGCAAAAGCTTGCCTCTAATCACGAGGTATAGCAACAGTGTCTTCAGTCTGGGGAATTCACATTGTTACGTTTCCATGCAATCATGTAACACAGTGTACCAGATTTTATTCAAATTTAACTTGCAAGTGGCTTATTAAAATGTCCTCTTAGCCACCAATTGCAAACACAATCCAACACAGTTGGAAGGCAAAGCTGTGCAAGTTGATAGCATTATACAGACACACCAGTCCCAATTATATGCAATTACATAGAGTAACAAGCCACTTGTGTTGACAGCCAAAATCCAAGAATCTAGAACATTCAACAATACTAAAGTCTAAAGCAAAGTTTAACCACTTCGAGCCGGGGCATTTTGAAATGTTTAGGATGCTGGGCCGGCATGACTATCATTTTTTCCGTTTTCAAAATCCTTCAATTCATCATTCCATTTAACAGTCGTTTATAGTCACACAAAGTAATCTTCAGGCA